AGTGTCGGAACATCTGGGGGGGTACTTTATAGGTGGTCATTTTTATATTTTATGGAATATATCTGTTCAAATTCTTCAAATAAAAGTTACTTCTAATATAATTATCCATAATTTTTGTTTTATATCAAAATTTCCTGAAATGGTCCGTATTCGAGAAATTTGACAAAATGTGCAAAATTCTGATTTTTAAGAAAATTGTTAAACTAAAAGTTGTTTGCGATATTGATCTCTATAATTTTTGTTTTTACATGATTTTTCGAAAATGAACCGTAATGGAAAAATTGGAGAAAAGTACTAAATTTAAATTTTTCAGTACTTTCGTTTTCAATGAATATCAGTAAAAAAATGTTTCGAGTTAAATATATGTGGAAAATGTAGTTTATTCCCTAAATATTTATAGAGGAGGTATAATAGGTTGTACAAAATAACCGCCTATAAAGCCTATAATAACTAGATAGAAAAGTCATGTGTTGGACACATCAGATTTTTATATATATTTTATAGCCATGAATGTAGAAATATTATTAGAATCTTCAGAAGACATTTCATCTTCTATATCTACAATTAATTTAAGAATAAGTTAGGCGCTACTGAAATTTCGAGAATGCGATAGCAATGTAAGTGAGTGTTGATCTTGTCGGACTCGGGGTGAATCAGAAACCAATATCCGAGGGTGGTGGGTACGAATATAGTTGTTGGGTTGGCAGGCCCGCGGCAGAGGGCGCGCTATGTCGCATCGACTTTCATATGGTAATCGCCTACAGAAATCCATTCACAATGGCATTAGGGCCAACTTATTACGTTTACATTGATCTCGAGGTTTATATTTTTCCTTCCTCTATTTGTCTTTGTATTTGAATTTAGTTGGTTGCTGCATTAAACTACCCTTATTCGATATTAGATTCATATCTCAGCGCAAAGCTCGCGAGTGTTCCGTCTCTCTCGCTCTTTGCTTTATGAATTTTATTTGTTGTGACGGGTTTATAAGTAATTATTTCGGATTTAACGTCTCGTTTGCTTTGGAATACGAGGCGTTATATTAGTCGGATCTTAAAGGGGATTTCTGGATGTTATGGTCAGTAAACGTCGCTTTGTTTTATAAGCAGAAAGAAAAATTAGTTACTTAAAAATGTTCAGCTTTTATCGACATTCATATTGACTTTTATGTTATCAAATCTTACTTACATTTTTAGAGTAAAAAAAGCAGTAATAATGAGTCTAGTTAACACTTTCCCATTTATATTTTATAAAAAATCAGTGCTACGCACGCTGCAGAATTAAATAGGTACAAACGACTTCCCACATACTTTTAATTTGTTTTTTAAAACGAATTTATAAACTGACCCCACCGATATTACAAACAGTATCAACCCAACAGCAATAACAATAATAATAGTAAATCTAGAGGGAATAATAAAGGAAGTAGCTTCTAAACTGGGGTAGACAGAAGTCTCCCACGGTCTAAATGGCATTATCGTAATCTGATACAGACGACCATACGTGTTTTTGCAAATGAGAAACTATTTATTAACTGTTTCTATTGTGTACTTCCTCTAGCTTGCGAGGTCTGATAAAGGACTTACAGGACTCGTTTGGGGGCGTTGATAGGAAGTAGGCGTAAGGCAATTAGGAAGTACTAATGATGTCAACGTTATCATTATTACTACAACTTTATTTTGTAGAATTTTACTGTATTTGTAAGAGTTTTCGCCCATATATAAATATTGTAATGGATAATACCTTTGTTGAAAGTATTTTAGAGTTTCAAAATATATCTAAAGTACAATACTGGCAAATTAAGATTTTTAATTATAGTTTCTAATAAATAAATTATGTTTCTACGCTTCTTATCAATATTTTCTCAAATTTTGAAGTTTATAAATCTATTAGTTTGGACATAGAGACGAAACAAAGGCTCCAATATCAACTGTAACAAATAGGAATTTAATTTTGATACTCTCTATCTTTAACAACTGTTGATATTTAAAAATTTTGTTTGCAGTATAATGTTTCTACACTTTTTATAAATATTTTCTGAAGTTTTGAAGTTTATAAATCTATTAGTTTTGGAATTAGGGATGAAACAAAGGTTCCAATTTCAACTTTAACAAGTAGGAATTAAACTTTGATACTCTCTATCTTTAATAATTGTTGGAATTTAAGAATTTTGTTTGTAGAATAATGATTCTACACTCTTTATAAATGTTTTCTGAAATTTTGAAGTTTATAAATCTATTAGTTTTGGAATTAGGGACGAAACAAAGGTTCCAATATCAACTTTAATAAGTAGGAATTCAACTTTTATACTCTTTATCTTTAACAACTGTTGATATTTAAGAATTTTGTTTGCAGAATAATCTTTCTACACTCTTTATAAATGTGTTCTGAAATTTTGAAGTTTATAAATCTATTAGTTTTAAAATTAGGGACGAAACAAAGGTTCCAATTTGAACTTTAATAAGTAGGAATTTAACTTTGATACTCTCTATCTTTAATAGCTATTGGAATTGAAGAATTTTAATTGTAAAATAATGATTCTACACTCTTTATAAATGTGTTCTGAAATTTTGAAGTTTATAAATCTATTAGTTTTGGAATTAGGGACGAAACAAAGGTTCCAATTTCAACTTTAACAAGTGGGAATTTAACTTTCATACTCTCTATCTTTAACAACTGTTGATATTTAAGAATTTTATTTGCGGAAAAATCTTTCTACACTCTTTATAAATATGTTCTGAAATTTTGAAGTTTATAAATCTATTAGTTTTGGAATTAGGGATGAAACAAAGGTTCCAATTTCAACTTTAACAAGTAGGAATTAAACTTTGATACTATCTATCTTTAATAATTGTTGGAATTTAAGAATTTTGTTTGTAGAAAAATGATTCTACACTCTTTGTAAATGTTTTCTGAAATTTTGAAGTTTATAAATCTATTAGTTTTGGAATTAGGGACGAAACAAAGGTTCCAATATCATCTTTAACAAGTAGGAATTTAACTGTAATACTCTCTATCTTTAATAGCTGTTGAAATTTAAGAATTTTGTTTGTAGAATAATGATTCTACACTCTTTATAAATTTGTTTTGAAATTTTGAAGTTTATAAATCTATTAGTTTTGGAATTAGGGACGAAACAAAGGTTCCAATTTCAACTTACGAAATTGCATTTTTCTTTAATATTTTTCTTCATTGAGGTCTGTAATGAAAATCCTCATTAGCACAAAAAGTCACTCCCATTTCTCGTTAACGGGAAGAGACTATCGTATAGTTCTTAGATCAACAGTAAATTCTTCTTTTTTATGTTGGTACAATTTCGTATTTCACATGACATTAATCACTAAAAAAATGTCTCAAATATCTTAGTCATTAACATCTTATAAATTTGGAAATTTTCAAAATTTAAAGTGAATAATAACCTTTGCAATGATAATGAAATAAAATTTATAAAAAAAATAACAAAAACAATATATAAATATACATAAAAAGGTAAGCATCTTAAATAATAAGTTTATACATACTAATTTTTAATTATTTTTAGGTAAAATCAACTTTGATAATAAAAGTAACATAATAAATTGAAAAAACGCAACTAATTTAATCTAGTAATTTTGATACTAATATTTAAGTATTCTAAAAATGGCACAATTTCCTCCAAAAGCATCAACTAAACCAAATCCCAATTTCTATCCAGCTTTTCCACCTTTGCCCCCTTTTCCAGCGTTTCCTCCGTTTCCACCGTTTCCATCATATCCACCATTTCCAATAAATCCCTATTTATACAACCAACAGTACCCTGAAATGTACAGAAACCTATATCGCCCTGAATTTGCTCCTTATTTAACGTATTTACTTTATTCAAACATGGGCTATCCAAATTTCATGCCATTTCCACATCTGGAAGATTATATCAAATTAGGCCAATATGCAAATCCATCTTTTCCGATATATCAAGAGACTATATCGCAAGATGAAGAAACGTGTACATCTGAAGACTTTTGTCCTCCAGAATTTTGTTTACCAACATCGTCTATAGATACACCAAAATGTATGCAGAGTAATACCAAAACAGACCAGGTATTGATAGGAGGAACATTTAAGAAATGCTACTGCAAGAGGAGATATGGACTACAAGATTTGTGTCAAAGAGTTGGTTGTAATGGTTCACCAAAATGTGAACCTAGTGAGTTTGATAAAACGTTTATTGGAGATAAATACCATAGTTCTGTAATGTCGTAATTTGGGAACATAAAAAATATACGAAAATACAAACTTGAAGAGTTAGTTTTTTTCAAATCAGATGTTAGATTACCTTTAAAATGACTTTGTCTTTATGTTGCTTTAGTAAAATCACTTTTGCGTATAATTGATAGATGTTTAGCACTTCAATTTCTTGGTAGAGCTGAAATTTATTGTAGGTTAAGTTCTGGGTTTGTGAAACAATATATAATGAAGAATTTTTGAGGTAAGTTAGTTTCAGGATATTAAAAATATATCTACATGGTTCAAATCTTAGATTTTTTTATTAAATAATTTATTTGATGGTCCCATGTTAATTGGGAATCGAGGAAAAGTGGAGTATTAAAAGAACCTCTTGGTTATGTGGTCAGATCTCATGTCTAGCCTTATTAAATTTTTGCATCACGTGTTTCCTTAAGGTCTGTTCCAACAACGGTCAGAAACCAGTCACCGACACCAAGATTCTACGCAGGAGTGCGTTTAGAAACCCCGCACGGCGCGTCTCACCACATACATTAGAATAGGGTCCAGACGCGCCGTGCGTGGTTTCTAAACGCACTCCAGTATACAGTTTGACTGTCGAAATAATCAACTGCGCAGAATCCTGGTGTCAATGACTGGTTTCTGACCTTTAGTATAGCAAGGTCATCATTCTACCATGGAACTTTCCTGATAGAGTTCCTTGCTATTAAAAGACAGGTGTCGTTGACAGCGCTAGTGACTGTGTCATTAAACTCATCCACAGCCATTTCTAATAGGTCAGTTGTTGTTCTTATCGTCTTTCTCATCTTCGGAAGATTGCATTCCAAGGAAGTATTCTATGCCTCCCAGTCTGTTTTCCTGTGATTCCGAGTTTCTTATGCAATATTTCCTTTAATATTGAAGTTTATGTGTCTGTGATCTGAGAAACTCTCTGCGTCAGACACATGCCAGTCTGTAACAAAATTACTCAAGTATGTTGACAGTATTCCTAATGTCAAATTAATCAAAATTTTAATTTCATAACATCTCATTTCACAATTTTTTAAAACTATGTAAAAAATTAAATAATTAAATTCCCAGTGGATACTACAGTGATCAATTACAAAATTACCAATGCAAGAACTGAAATACGGTAAAATGATGTATCATCTACTTAGGTAACACCAAATTATTAGTTTAAATGGATAATATAACTCAAATTAAATCTTTTTTTATAGAATGCTCTAAAAGACAAAAAAAAAATGAAAAATTCGTTACTCCATACATGTACTGCTTTTTCTTCATTGGAAAATAATACCAAAAACCTAGAAGAACTGCAGCTTACTAAGAACACGCCAAACGAACCAATCTGCTGTCCACTTTGTCCAACAATATCATGCCTATTTAATGAAGAAAATTTAAAAGCATACCATAATTTATATTTGTCGGAATTACGCAATATTCCATTTTCCCCTTTTCATCCTAACATGAATTATACGCCTTTAACTCATATACTTGAAGATTATTTAGTCACAAATAAACAATATTCAACAATTTCTTGTACTTTGCATGAATACAATACTGAGGATGAAGAAAAACTTACTCCAAAACCAGACGATCTAGTACAACATTGTGATTTTACTCAAACATCTCAAGAAACTTTAGAACCAAGTACATCAAATAATTGTTTATCAGACCGGGAATTAAGAGGTAGCAAATTTATACAGTGTCTTTGTAAAAAAAGATACGGTCTTCAAGATTTTTGTGAAAGAACGGGTTGCATGGGTTCACCAGAGTGCTTGGCAATTCCTCCCCATTGCGAACCAAGCAAATTTGATAAGACTTTTGTTGGAGAAAGGTGTAGCTATGTTTCAACACAGAATTCTTGTAAACTTATACCAACGGTTCATGATTATGTTGAATATTGTGTCAAATGTTTACAAGGCCAACCTCACCATGTTTGTAGAACAGAAAAATTTATAGTTTTACATCCTTAATGCAATTATTGTATCAAAGATTTTTGGTTAATACCTAGACACTTATTTACAGTAGAAAGTGAGAATATACAGGGTGAAACCTAAATGATAATTTGTTTTAACTGTGTATAGAAGTCATTGAAACAAATATCTTTTTCTAATAACTTTTTTCAAAAAACTTTAACATAAAGGAAGATAAAGGATTAATAAAATTAAATCCCAACATGGAATTCCAATAAATGAATAGTCTGTTTGTATGTTTATCGGTTTTAAATTATTTTTAAAATAAGACAGTGAAATTATTTTTAGTTAATTCTATAAAAGACATAAATAATGATATTTACAACCAATAAATGCAAATTTTTGAATATAATATATGCTGAATGTAGAAAATGATATAGAAAAATATAATAGAATTTATAGAATATTATTAATAATTTTTGATCCGTTTTTATTATTCCTCTATATTGCATTTTAAGAATAATAATTTTGTAGTAAATTTACAGCAGCTCATATCCCATTACCCATTTTCTCTTATTAAAAATAATGATCTGTACTTTTCGTGCATATAAAGCCAAAGATACACTTAAATAAATTTTTAACGACGAAAATATATGGTAATATGTTGCACAAATTGATCGTATTCAATTTAAGCTGGTAAAATTGGGCTTTATCAAGCAAAATATTCCATGTATACACTCGGAAGATAATGCGCTTATATTATTGGCAACTTATTTATATAATGTGTACTTATTAGGGTTGGCATTTCAGTGATGTTTGATTGATTATTTGTCAAGAATAAAGAAAAATAATGTTTCCAAATTGATTTAAACATATAAATAAATAAAAATATTTAATATTTAACGAATGGGACACAAAATGACTAAAGAGTATTTAATTAACAACACATGACTTATTATTACAGGCTTTATCCGGTTATTTTATATAACAAATTGTTTCACCTCATGTAAATGTTTAGATCAGTGGTCGCCAACCTGTCGATCGCGAGCTACCGGTAGCTCGCGGAGGCAATTCTGGTAGCTCTCACAACGATTTTAATTTAAAAAATACAAACTGCAAAAATCAGAGAAGCTTCCGAAAATTCCACAAAAAAATCTAATTGTCATAATATTAAACATAAATAGCAGCAACGTTGAGGTGAGCGATCTGCCGCTGATGCCACCAAGCTAGAATCGGCTAGAACCGACCAGCCGGACCAGCGCGTTAGTGTTCGAGAACGATCAGGATTGCTTTGAACGGGATAAATACGCACGGCGCGGCGACATTGCAGGGTTGCCAACCGTACGGTAATTACCGTACTTGTACGGTAATTTCGATTAATGTACGGTATACGGTCCAAAGTCATTACCGTACATAAAAGTACGGTATTTACATAAAAAGTACGGTAAACGTACGGTATTTTGATCAGAATTAGTAGACTTTGAGTTGTGTAAGGGCCGATTCCACTGTTGTGTTAAACGAAGTTTAAATTACTAAATAAAGATTGACATTTGTCTAATGTAAAAATGTGAGTTTAATCTTTTTACTTTTTACAGCACATATTCTTTAAAAGGACCTGGTTTTTACTAAAATATAAGCTAAGGACATTTTTTTAGAAGCTAGGTAGAAGGACCAGAGGTTGATTAAAATTAAAATATGAAGAGGTCCTTTTTTTAGAAGTTGGACAAAATAGTAAATTACGTAACAAGAGTTGTAAGTAACCCATTACGCACGAAGTGAATAAATTTCATAAGTGCGTAATGGGCTTACAACTCGTGTAACGTACTATACTTTTTTACGCCCACTTAAAACATTCTCCGAAAAGGATTTAACGTTATGCTTGTGTCACCAATCCATAAATTTTTGATAGGTAATTTTGTACCTTGCTTTGGATTTTAGCGGTAACCAATAATTATGGGGTCTATTCTGTAACAATTCCTCTATATTAAACGGCCTTTAAAAATATTTTCTTCTTTACTTCTGTCATTATTTAAACGGATCTTTAAAATACATTAGACGATTATCTTAAAGAAATCTGTTTAAATAATGACAGAAATAAATTAACGAATTAGAAAATATTTTTAAAGGTCACCAATATTTTTAAAGGTCGGTAAATATAAAGGAATTGTTATAGAATAGACCCCTACGTAGGTAAAGTTGAAAAAATGTTCGAATACAATAATATTTTGTTACAAAAATTAACAATATAAATGACGACGTTTATTTCAATAGCATGCTGAGAAAACGCGACATATTTTTTGAAAAATTGTATGATGTGTTGCCAACATTTTGGGGTCATTACTCTTATTTCAAAATGTATCTCGCGAATGATAAAACTTTTAAATTTAAGTTTTCTTGTCAAAACGCACGTGTATGTTATAAGATTTCATTACATGCATGTTAAATGTCATTTACAAGGGATGTTGACAGTGCGATTTTTAACGTTTATTGACAAGGGCGTAGAAAAAGATATTTATACAACATAGTTTTTTACTTTTTCTAGTTTTTTTTACAAAATCAAAGTGTACGGTATTGGAAGGCCATGTACGGTAATTTGAAGTGCGCGGTACGGTAAATGGAATTTGAAAAGTTGGCAACCCTGCGACATTGTCACATTGCATTTAGTTTAAAACTGAACGCGTAACCAACGTTCAGCGGTTGGGTTAGTAGAGAACAACAAAAAATAATATTATGGCAAGCAGTTGTAAGAAGGTAAAGACACCACTTTCATTCGGAATGGGAAGAACAATACTTTTTTACAGAAGTTAAAGATAAAAATGTGTGTTTGTTATGTAATACTTCGGTCTCCGTTGCTAAAAAAGGAAATATTGAAAGACATCATAAAACTGTACATTCTAATTTTGAAAAATCATTCCCACTACATTCTGCCGTCAGAAAGGAGAAACTGAAACAGTTAAAAAAGCAGTTAATTGGACAACAATCAATATTTTTAAGAACAGTCGACAAAAATAAGGCTGCAACTGAAGCATCGTACCGTGTGTCTCAGATAATTGCACAAAAAAAGAAACCTTATGAAGACGGGGAAAAGATAAAACAGGCGTTTTTAGAAGCTGCTGATTCGTTATTTGCCAACTTTAGAAATAAAGACGAGATAGTTTCAGCTATAAAATCTATGCAACTTTCTGCTAATACAGTGATGAGACGTGTAGAAGTAATGAGCAATATTTTTTATAGTTGAAAACTGACTTAGATAACTGTGTTTATTTTTCACCTCAACTGGATGAATCAACAGATGTCGTTGACACTGCCCAGATGGTTGTGTTCGTCAGGATAGTTTTTAGTGATTTTACGATTAAAGAAGATCTTTTGAAGTTTATTCCACTGAAAGGACACACTACTGGACAGGAGTTGTTTTCTCATTTAAAAAATATTATTTCTTCCGAGAAAATTCCAATATCGAAAATGGTAGGCTTGACAACCGATGGCGCTCCAGCTATGGTGGGTTGTGATAAGGGTCTGGTGGCGTTATGTCGTAAAAATGAAACTTTTCCGCAATTTCTCTGTTACCACTGCATTATCCATCAGCAAGCATTATGTGGAAATTTCTTGAAACTAAACAACGTTATGAAACTGGTGGTAAAAATTGTGAACAAGATTAGAGCTCAAGCGTTACAAAGAAGATTATTCACAACCTTGGCCGATGAAGTTGACTGTCAATACGGGGACCTACTCCTTCACTCTGAAGTCCGATGGTTAAGTAGAGGACGGGTGCTGAAACGTTTTAATGATGTCCTATTTGGAATAGTTCAATTTTTCAAACAACGCGATGAATCGACTCCGGAACTAGAAAGTTCAATCTGGCTTAGAGATTTTGGTTTTCTCGTGGACATTACAGAGAAATTAAACGAACTTAATTTGCAGCTTCAGGGGAGAGACAAAGAACTAGCGGAAATGATTTCTGATATAAAAGCATTTATCAAAAAGCTGGAGTTTTGGGAACAAAACCTAATTAACAGCGATGCCAAGCATTTTCCTATTATTTCAGAAAAAAATATCTCAAAATCCATTAGAACTCTATGACAGCAAATATCATATAGAAATAGTTTCTACCCTGAAGAATAACTTCAAAAATCGTTTTAAGGATTTCAACGAAATGGCTTTAGTAGCGCAGTTTGTTGTTTCACCCTTTATGGAAATTGATATCCAAGAGTTTGCAACTTGTGTTATGCAGAACTTTGGCGAAGACATCGCTGCAACAGAAATGGAAGTAATTGAGTTTCAAAATGATTTAGCCTTAAAATCGTTAGTCTCAAGTACCAAATGTATCTGCCCTATTGAAAATCACCAGGTCAGGATAATATTAACTCAGACCTTTTAAAAAACGTATGTAATCAAATTGTATCACCTTTAGTACACCTCATAAATAGTACGTTTTGTAAAGGATGTTTTCCAAAAATATTCAAAACCGGGTTAATTAAACCGTTATTCAAACGAGGAGACGTTGAAAAGATTGAAAATTATCGACCGATCTCTTTAATATCTAATGTAGCCAAAATCCTTGAGAAAGCTATCAAAACGCGTATAATAAAATTTCTAAATAAATTTAATGTTCTTTCTAATAACCAGTATGGATTTAGGGAGGGGAGATCGACACAAGATGCCATACATGCATTAACTTCAGAAATATATTCCTCTTTAGATAAATCTAAACCATCACTTTGTATCTTTGTCGATCTCTCCAAAGCCTTTGACACGGTATGTCACAGGAAATTACTAGAAAAATTGAATCAAATTGGAATCCGTGGCAATGCATTAACATTATTTAAGAGTTACCTTTCTGGTAGGGAGCAGGTGGTAAATATTGAGGGTACAATAAGTTCTCCAAAAATAATTACATACGGAGTTCCTCAGGGAACGGTGCTAGGACCAATACTTTTTACTATTTACATAAATAATCTTATGATACAACCGTCAGTGGGTAAAATATTGAGTTTTGCAGATGATACTGTGATATTGTACCAAGACCATAACTGGAATGACTTGAAAAAAAATGCTGAAAAAGATTTTCAAAATATTATTAACTGGTTTAATTATAATAAACTAACTTTAAACTACGAAAAAACCAAGTACTTACCATTCGCCTCTTATTCAAATGGACTTCCAAGTATGGGACCTCTAACAGTATCCGATAAAATTAAGATTCCAGAAGCTTCGTCTATTAAATATTTAGGTATTGTCATCGATCGACATCTAAGATGGGACCTACATATCTGCAACCTAGTAAATAAATTGAGAGGATTTATATCTAGATTTAAATACCTAAGACAATATTTAAACGTTACTCAATTAAAAATCATCTATTACGGATTAG